GCTATAAATCGCGGCCATCTTAGAATTCTCCATTAGCCTCCGGTCATTCAAGAGAGACAGACCTGTCTGTATTGGGACAGAGTTAGGGCCACAGAGACTTTAGGGCCACAGAATCGTTACTCAGGGACACAGAATCGTTACTCAGGGACACAGAATCGTTACTCAGGGACACAGAATCGTTACTGAGGGACACAGAATCGTTACTGAGGGACACAGAATCGTTACTCAGGGACAGACACAGAATCGTTACTCAGGGACAGAAGGACACAGAATCGTTACACAGAACAGAATCGTTACTCAGGGACAGACACAGAATCGTTACTCAGGGACACAGAATCGTTACTCAGGGACACAGAATCGTTACTCAGGGACACAGAATCGTTACTCAGGGACACAGAATCGTTACTCAGGGACACAGAATCGTTACTCAGGGACACAGAATCGTTACTCAGGGACACAGAATCGTTACTCAGGGACACAGAATCGTTACTCGGGGACACAGAATCGTTACTCAGGGGACACAGAATCGTTACTGAGGGACACAGAATCGTTACTCGGGGACACAGAATCGTTACTCGGGGGGACACAGAATCGTTACTCAGGGACACAGAATTGTTACTTTCTGCTTCACAACCACTATTGAATTAAAGAGTATGTCAGACAACAAACACGCAGAGGAGTGGCAGAGGAGGCAATGTTTCAGGAGCGAGCAGACGTGGCAGCAGAGGAAGGGGTCGAGGCAGCACTAGTCGCAGCCAGAGGCCAGTGCTCCCGGTGTCATCCAGCGGTCGTGTCTCCACCGACAACCCTGCCGTCATCGATTGGTTGACTCGGTCGTCTTCCTCTTCCCAGGTCACCTCTGACACCTACAGCCAACGGTCGGTGGGTACGTCAGACACAACCGTTAGTTGGCATGGCCCGGGAGCAAGCCCACTGAAATCACGTGTCCTCTACCTGCCCCTGTCCTTTGGTGTTCCCTCACCAAGCGAAGTATCGCATGCTGTGGGCTCAGCCCCACTGTACAGTGAGGAAGAGCTAACAGAGGGCGGTCAGGAACGGGGGGAGACATCCGCCTCTTCAGCAGCCAGGCGAAGAAGTACTGGCGAGGAGAGTGGCACGGTAGCCGGTCTAGAGACAGGTCTGTCTACTGACCCACACGCAGCCGAGGGGGCTAGTAGTGAAGCGGAGACCCTAATTGATGATGATGAGGCTGATCGCACTTGGCAGCCTCGTCGTCATCAGGCTATTGCTTCCGCATCATCAGGAGAAGAGGGTGCCAGCTTGCCAGCGAGCAAAACAGTCGGTGGGTTGCCCAGGAGGCAGCAGGGTCGCAGCAGTGTCAGTGGAGGCAAACGGCCACGGAGTAGAGCACCAGCTCCACTGCAGCCTACCACCACGGCCAGTAGTGGTGCCGGGTGTGCACGGAGGAAGTAGCAGTCAGCCAGTGAGGAGTAGCAGGGGCAAAGTTTCCTACTCGGCGGTGTGGCAATTTTTCGTCAAGCCGCCCGAGGAAGTAAACGTAGCCGTATGTCGACTATGTGGCCAGAAAGTCAAGCGTGGCCAGGGGGCCCATGTTGGGACTACAGCGTTGCGTCAGCATATGCAGCGTCGCCATTCGGTGGCCTGGGAAAAACCGTGATAAAGATACGGCGGTTCTGCCTGCCCCAGCCCCCGCTCCATCACCCGCTCCGTTACTTGCTCCGTCACCCGACGTCAATCGCCCTCTATCAGCCAGTCAAGGCTCCAACACCTCTGCTGAGGGGAGTTGTCGCTCGTTGGCATCTTCCGCTCGTTCAGATGCTCCTTCTCCTGCTACTCCTCTTCACGGATTCCGTCAGCAGTCTTTCTTGGAATCCGTTTCCAAGAGACAACAGTTTGCGAGCACGCACCCGACGGTGCAGAAGCTGAACGTCCTCCTGTCCAAGTTGCTGGTGCTGCAGTCCCTCCCTTTCCAAGTGGTGGACTCAGCACCTTTCCGAGAAATGATGGCTTGTGCCGAGCCGCGGTGGAGAGTGCCAAGCCGGCATTTCTTCGCCAAAAAGGCAGTGCCAGCCCTGCATTCACATGTAGAAGAGATGGTGGGCCAGTCTTTGAGCATGTCGGTCTCTGCCAAAGTGCACGGCAGCGCCGACGTGTGGAGCTGTAACTACGGTCAGGGACAGTACATGTCATTTACGGCCCACTGGGTGAACGTGGTGCCGGCACAGCCGCACCAGCAACTTGGACAGGTCACGCCGCTTTTGCCTCCACGTTTGCACGTCCTTGGTCCAGCAAAGATGTCCGCCTCTACCACCTCTTCTTCCGCCGTGTCCTCAGCCGCCACCCCCGTGCCAAGTCCCATTACCCGACCGGCATATCACATGTGCAGGGCGCAACGGTGTCACGCTGTGCTGCACCTGGTATGCCTTGGCGAACGTAGTCACACAGGGGAGGAACTTCTGAGTGTAATGAACAGAGAAATCGACAGATGGCTGTCTCCGCGCAAACTGAAAATCGGAACCATGTTGACCGACAACGGAAAGAACATGGTGTCTGCTCTGCGTCAAGGAAGGTTGTGCCATGCGCCATGCATGGCTCACGTGTTCAATCTGGTTGTCAAGCGGTTCCTAAAATCCACCATCCCACTGCAAGACATCCTTAAAATGTCACGTAAACTTTGCATGCATTTCAGCCATTCCTACACCGCAAAGCACACCCTCCTTGAGCTGCAGCGGCAGAACGGAATTCCACAGCATCGCCTGATCTGCGACGTTGCAACAAGGTGGAATTCAACCCTACATATGTTAGACCGCCTTTACGAACAGCGAAAGGCCATCACCGATTTCCTGATGTTACAAGCGGATAAAGGTACTCCCCTGTGTAACTTAGATGTCAGCCATTGGCAGCTCATGCGTGACACCTGCCGCTTGCTCAGGCCCTTTGAGGAGGCCACGCTATTCGTGAGTCGGCAGGACTATGGGATGAACGACGTCATTCCTCTGTTGCACGTCCTGGAACAAATGCTGTTAACAATGGCTGGTCAGGGTGCGGTAGACGTGGCGCACAGATCTCAACGCCACATGACCCCTGTGGGGGCAGGACAGGAAGAAGAGGAGGAGGTAGAGGAGGACATTGGTGCTCAGGAATTATTGAGTGAAATGGGTGGTTTTTCCACTCAGCGGACAGGAGTGGAGGAGCAGGAGCATCTGGTAGAGGAGGAGGAGGAGGAGACAGAGGACCCAGACGCACCGTGGCAGTATGCTGTGGAGATGGAGGCAGGGAGTCCCTCGCATTCCTTGGCACAAATGGCCCATAGCATGCTCGGTTGCTTGCGTAGCGACAGCCGAAATAATAACCATCAGACAGAGGGATGACTTTTGGCTGTCCACCTTGTTGGACCCTCGCTACCGTTCAAAAATGGTGGCCTTTTTCACACCTGCTGAGAGGGAGGCCAAAATAAAGTACTATAAAAACCACCTATGTAGTCAGTTGGTCTCTGCCTTTCTGCGCAACGTCCATCCTCAGACACTGTGGGCCCTGTGCGCTCGCGTTCCGCTGCCATGGCAGCAGGGGAGGGGTGGGGTGGTAGGAGCAGTGGCAGCTCCACCAGCAGCGGCTGCCTCAGTCTGCAGTCGATGATGAGTAGCTTTCTTCACCAGCGCAGTGAGGAAACTACTAACCAGCCGCAGCAGCAGCAGCATCAGGTGGACCTGGAGCAGGACCTCAAACAACAGGCTCGGGCCTACTTGGACAGCACCCTGCCAACCGAGGTAGACAATCCCCTTGACTACTGGGCAACGAAACTTGACCTTTGGCCCCAACTAGCTGAATTTGCCCTTGAAAGGCTGTCATGCCCGGCCAGTAGCGTGGCATCGGAGCGCGTGTTTAGTGCGGCAGGAGGTATTGTAACTCCGCGGAGGACACGACTGTCCACCCAAAGTGTGGAGAGACTCACGTTTGTGAAAATGAATCAGGCGTGGATTAGTCTGGATTTCAAACCACCAGTTCCTGACACAACTGACTAAATCCGCCATGAATCATGCCCCAAACATGTTATTATTTTTAACATAGGCCTCTGTATGGCCTTCAATTTAAGCTGCTTACGCTTCGCCACTCTGCCATGGGCCCCTGTACCGCCTCCTCTTGCTGCTGCCAGGTCCAGAGTGTGTCATGGGTCCCTGTACGGCCTCCCATTGCTGCTGACTTCATCGCCAGACTCTGCCATGTGCCACTTTCAGGTCTCCTTACACTGTTGGTGGGTTCCATTTTGTGATAGGGTGCTGTATGGCCTTCCATTGCTGCTGCCTCCACCGCCACCCTGCGCCATGTGCCTCTGTCGTCTGCTCACGCTGCTGACGGCTTCCGCTTTTTAACCGAGGCCTGTGTTTGGCTTCCGAATACTGCTGCATCCACCGCCACCCTGCGCCATGTGTCTCTGTCGTCTGCTCACGCTGCTGACGGCTTCCGCTTTTTAACCTAGGCCTGTGTATGGCTTCAGAATAATGCTGCCTACACCGCCACCCTGCGCCATGTGCCTCTGTCGTCTGCTCACGCTGCTGCCAGGTCCATACTGATTCATGGCCCCCTGTACCGGCTCCTCATGAACGTGGTTCAGCGGGTTTGCATCACTTAACGGCAAATCGTTGACAAACGCTGGGACGTTCAGTGTTGTGCGCATTAAGCCAGACACCAAAGGGCAGCACAGACCTGTTATTACTCGCTCAAGCATGGCTGAACAAAACCAGTCTCTACCACAAATTGGACCCAGACCTGCCCAGGGTCTCGTAAGTAGATTGCACGGAGGAGTAGAGTTCGTTATTGGAATTAACTGTGAGGGACTTTTAAACCTAGGCCTGTGTATGGCCTTCAATTGAAGCTGCTTTCTGCTCCGCCACTCTGCCATTGGGACTCTTGATTGACGACTATTAGTCGTCTCCCCACGCTGCTGCTGGGGGGACTTTTTAACATAGGCCTCTGTATGGCCTTCAATTTTAGCTGCTTACGCTCCGCCACTCTGCCATGGGCCCCCCGTACCGACTCCTCATGCTGCTGCCAGGCCCGTAATCTGTCATGGGCCCCTGTTACCGCCTCCTCATGCTGCTGCCAGGTCCAGAGTGTGTCATGGGTCCCTGTACGGCCTCCCATTGCTGCTGTCTCCATCACCACACTCAGCATGTGCCACTTTCAGGTCTCCTCACACTGCTGGTGGGTTCCATTTTGTCATAGGGTGCTGTATGGCCTCCCATTGCTGCTGCCTCCACCGCCACCCTGCGCCATGTGCCTGTCGTCTGCTCACGCTGCTGACGGCTTCCGCTTTTTAACCGAGGCCTGTGTTTGGCTTCCGAATACTGCTGCATCCACCGCCACCCTGCGCCATGTGCCTCTGTCGTCTGCTCACGCTGCTGACGGCTTCCGCTTTTTAACCTAGTCCTGTGTATGTCTTCCGAATACTGCTGTCTCCATCGCCACCCTGCGCCATGTGCCACTTTCAGGTCTCCTTACACTGTTGGTGGGTTCCATTTTGTGATAGGGTGCTGTATGGCCTTCCATTGCTGCTGCCTCCACCGCCACCCTGCGCCATGTGCCTGTCGTCTGCTCACGCTGCTGACGGCTTCCGCTTTTTAACCTAGGCCTGTGTATGGCTTCCGAATACTGCTGCCTCCACCGCCACCCTGCGCCATGTGTCTCTGTCGTCTGCTCACGCTGCTGACGGCTTCCGCTTTTTAACCTAGGCCTGTGTATGGCTTCTGAATACTGCTGCATCCACCGCCACCCTGCGCCATGTGTCTCTGTCGTCTGCTCACGCTGCTGACGGCTTCCGCTTTTTAACCTAGGCCTGTGTATGGCTTCTGAATACTGCTGCATCCACCGCCACCCTGCGCCATGTGTCTCTGTCGTCTGCTCACGCTGCTGACGGCTTCCGCTTTTTAACCTAGGCCTGTGTATGGCTTCTGAATACTGCTGCATCCACCGCCACCCTGCGCCATGTGTCTCTGTCGTCTGCTCACGCTGCTGACGGCTTCCGCTTTTTAACCGAGGCCTGTGTTTGGCTTCCGAATACTGCTGCATCCACCGCCCGCCCACTGCTGCTGCCAGGCCCGTAATCTGTCATGGGCCCCTGTACCGCCTCCTCATGCTGCTGCCAGGTCCAGAGTGTGTCATGGGCCCCTGTACCGCCTCCCATTGCTGCTGTCTCCATCGCCACACTCTGCCATGTGCCACTTTCAGGTCTCCTCACACTGCTGGTGGGTTCCATTTTGTCATAGGGTGCTGTATGGCCTCCCATTGCTGCTGCCTCCACCGCCACACTGTGGCTCCACACTCTGGTTTTGGCCCCGTGACTGCCCAAATGAGTGAAGTGTGTGAGGTGATTCTAAGATCGACGGCACTCATCTGCATGTCATACTTACTGACAGTATTAGTTCTCTTCCCCAGCAGACTCCAAGGGCATTTAAATTAAAGGTACAGTGTTCTGCACTAATATAAAGGCTCTCTGAAGCCTAGAAACACCCTTTTTATAAGTTAAATTCGCAGCGAATATATTCCGCGAATTCGGCGAATCAGCCGAATCGAATTTTTGAATAATTCGCTCATCTCTAGTAACAACCATTGACCTCTCCGTAGATACAGTTGTGCTCAAACGTTTACATACCCTGGCAGAAATTGTGAAATTTTGGCATTGATATTAAAAATATGACCGATCATGCCAAAAAAATGTTCTTTTATTGAAGGATAATGATGATATGAAGCCATTTATTATCAAATAGTTGTTTGGCTCCTTTTTAAATCACAATGATAACAGAAATCACCCAAATGGCCATGATCAAAAGTTTCCATCCCCTGGAATGTTTGGCCTTGGTACAGACACACAAAGGGCTAAAATGCCAATTAAAGATTATGTTCCCCATCTGTGGATTTATAAATTGCAATTCGTGTAGTGTATAAATAGTCAATGAGTTTGTTAGCTCTTACATGGAAGCACTGACTAGGATAGATACTGAGCCATGGGTATCAGAAAAGAGCTGTCAAAAGTCCTGCGTAACAAGGTAATGGAACTTTATAAAAATGGAAAAGGACATAAAAAGATGTCCAAAGCCTTGAATATGCCAATCAGTACTGTTAAATCACCTATTAAGAAGATGTAGGTACCCACTGGAATTAAAGACGTGGTCAGATGGCAAATCAGGATAAGCATGGATGGACAGTAAAGATGTAGTCAGTAGCCAAGCCAGAATCATATATGAGGAGCAGGAGTCAAGTGACAGGCCGAGGTTGATACCAGGAAGACAGAAAGCTGGGTCAGCAATGGGAGATCAGACAACAAGAGCTGGGTGCAGGGACCCTGGTCTCAGGTAGCTGAAGAACATTCAGGGATTAGCACACCTCATTTAACTTGGCAGCTTGGCACCATTCCTGGGATTGGGTGTGTGCCAGCACAGGTGTATATGCGCTCTGATGTGCACAGGGATGCGCCAATGTGAGCCATTTACTGGCCAAAGTCTGCCTGTGTGCTGGCACATGCATTGGCAGCTCTTGACTGCTCTTCTGAGGGTAATTTTCACTCACTTCCTGTACCTGTAACTTCACAGAAATTAAGAAGAAATGTCCCCAAAGGAAAATCTGCCACAAGTTTCAACTCTTCCCCAGTCCCTGTAACCTAGGAGAAAAAATTTCCCCAGATCTCTTCCTCAATGTTATATTTGATGCCATATTATACAGTTGCAAGAAAAAGTATGTGAACCCTTTGGGATTACGTGGAGTTTTGCATGAATTGGGCATAAAATGTGCTCTGAACGTCATCTAAGTCACAACAATAGAAGAACACAGTCTGCTGAACATAATACTACACAAACAAATTGCACATAACATGTAAACATTCACAGTGCAGGGAGGAAACAGTATGTGAGGCCCTAGCTTAATGACTTCTCCCAGAGCTAATTGGAGCCAGGAGTGAGCCAACCTTGACTCCAATCAGTGTGATGATATTGGATGTGTTGCTGACAGCTGTCCTGCCCTTAAAAAACACACACCTGTTTGGGGTTTACTGGTTTCAAGAAGCACTGTCTGATGTGAACCATTCCTCGCAGAAAAGAGCTCTCAGAAGACCTACGATCAAGAATTGGTGACTTACATGAAGCTGGAAAGGGTTACAAAAGTATCTCCAAAAGCCTTGATGTTCATGTGTCCACGGTAAGACAGACTGTCTACAAATGGAGAAAGTTTAGCACTGTTGCTACTCTCCCTAGGCGTGGTCGTCCTGTAAAAATGACTGCAAGAGCACAGCGCAGAATGCTGCATGAGGTAAAAAAGAATCCCAGAGTGTCAGCTAAAGACCTACAGAAATCTCTGGCACATGCTAACATTTTTCTTGACACATCTACAATAAGGAAAACATTAAACAAGAATGGAGTACATGGGAGGACACCACGGAGGAAGCCATTGCTGTCCAAAAAGAATATTGCAGCACGTTTGAAGTTTGCAAAAGAGCACCTGGATGTTCCACAGCACTACTGGCAAAATATACTGTGGACAGATGAAACCAAGATTGAGTTGTTTGGGAAGAACACACAACACTATGTGTGGAGAAAAAAAGGCACAGCACACCAACATCAAAACCTCATCCCCACTGTAAAACATGGCGGAGGGAGCATCATGGTTTGGGGCTGCTTTGCTGCCTCAGGGCCTAGACGGATTGTTGTCATTGATGGGAAAATGAATTCTAGAGTTTATCAAGACATTTTGCAGGAAAACGTACGACCATCTGTCTGCCAACTGAAGCTCCGCAGAGGATGGGTGATGCAACAGGACAATGACCCAATGCATACAAGTAATTCAACAAAACATTGGCTGCAACAGCATAGAATACGCCTTCTGGAGTGGCCCAGTCAGAGTCCTGACCTCAACCCGATTGAAATGCTGTGGCATGACCTTAAGAGAGCGATTCACACCAGACAACCCAAGAATATTGCTACACTGAAACAGTTTTGTGAAGAGGAGTGGTCCAAAATGACTCCAGATCGTTGTGCAGGTCTGATCTGCGACTACAGGAAACGTTTGGTTGAGGTTATTGCTGCCAAAGGAGGGTCAACCAGTTATTAAGTCCAAAGGTTCACATACTTTTTCCTCCCTGCACTGTGAATGTTTACATGTTATGTGCAATTAAACCATTGCAACATCTAATGTTTGTGTAGTATTATGTTCAGCAGACTGTGTTCTTCTATTGTTGTGACTTAGATATCGTTCAGAGCACATTTTATGCCCAATTCATGCAAAACTCCACATAATCCCAAGGGGTTCACATACTTTTTCTTGCAACTGTATATGAAATCCCATAGACCTGCTGAGATACTGCACAAGCCTGGCTTGCAGTAATCAGGAGATGTGATATAAATACCAACAATGAGCCTTTTAAGGTGAATTCTTCCAGTAAGCTAAAAAGTGTTTTGGAGAATAAAATCCTTGACTGGAGCAGCATCACCCAGGAACACTAGCAATCTTGCCACTGTAAGGAAAAAAAAGAATTCTTTGTATTTGGACAAATTGTTCTACAGAGAGATAAAGGATAGAGACTGGAAGCCTAAACCTGATTGGATGCCTAGGACTACACATACGCTTATTGAATAGAATTCTGCAATTGATAAAAGTTGTTTAAATAATTGCATTTCATTTTCAAAACGACTCTATTCCACCTTAAATTCTTGCTATTTGTCAGCAATACAGAAGAGATTTACATGGAAAGATGTGATGTCGAGGCAGAAAAAAAAAACACATTGCCTTCTCCGGCTGCATGTATTCAAGGTAAGATATTACCCCCGGTACAGAGTTATGTCCACTCTTGACAATATTTTCTGTGAAAAAAAAGTCTGAAAATAGTATTTAATTGGAGAAATATAAAATCCAATGTACAAAATATTGTCCTGTATTTTTTTAATTGTCAAAACGAACTGAAATGAAGCAGAGAAATTATGAACAGCTTTATAGTAGACAAAACAATCAACATCCAAATTTCTCACGAGAAACATTGATGTTGAGAATCTAACCTTTTTAAATGGGTCTCCAATGTGTTTTGAAATCTGCAATAGCCAATAACACTTCTTAAACATCAGTAAATCAGCACACATGCACTTAGAATGGGCTAATTCACAAAAATGTTCTTAAGATATTATCAGAGTGCTAAATGTTTATTCATAGAAAGCTCATAGAAAAAAGGCCAAGATATGACATGCAAACCCATGTAGCACCCCCTAGTCAGGTGCTAGGATTTGTATAGTTGGTTAAGTATACCTGAATTTCTCTGCTAATCAGAGAGGCTGTCAGGTAAATTCGGTGTGGTATTCCGCTTAATAGAGTGATGTGATTGATTAGTCAGGTCTGCTTATGCTGCTCTGGTGTTTGGGTTTGTCTGAGTTCTGCCTGCCTTCAGGAAGCTATGGAAGCCTTCCAGAACATGGGTGGGGGCTGGGCAAATGAACAGCATGAATACGGATACAGCCCTAGCCAATTGCAGGGGAGGGAGTTTTATTTATATTTTGAGACCACATGGGTTCAGTGTCTTTCCCAGGAGTGGATTACACCGAACCAGAGTGGAGGTAGGCTGCCTCATCTGGCACTTGCTGTCATGTGGCCTCAGGTAGGTTGACCTGAGGGCCTGAAGCTAGAGAGAGTGACCCTGGTTCTACAGTAAGCTGACTAAGGGGAGCTGTCTACCAAAGATCTGTCTGGTATCACTGGAGAGAGTCACCTGGAAGAAGGCAACTATTCTATCCTTGGACTTGTGAGTACAGACACTGAAAGACCTTGGGGACTTTGTGTGCTTTGCTACCCCTCTGTGCTTGATAGTCAGCGTGGGTCTGAGAAAAAGGGAACACTGGCTAGTGTTTTGAAGAGCTTGTCCAAATGATACTACTGCAATGGACTTTGCTCAATTGCTATTACTTCTAGACTGTCGTAGTCTGCTCTAACGGGCCTGTACCTGGGGAGTTCAACCCTGCTCAGGGGCGGACTGACCATTTGGAAACTCGGGCACTGCTCGAGGGCCCAGGGTCAGTAGGGGGCCCCATGAGATGCCCCTGGTACATTTTTCATAGGCTTTTTTGAATTTGGGCAAGGACACAGGGACCCCATGATCCCCTATTGCCCGGGGGCGCCATGAGTTGTCAGTCCACCCCTGACCCTGCTACTACTACTACAGCTAAAGGGACTTGGCTCATACCTAAAACTACTTGCTGCTGTATGTTACAAGGAAGTCTGGTATCTCCTTTAGCTGGGACTTCTACATTGCTCAACTAAGAGAGATGTTCCCAGTGTGAATAGTTCTAATTTTGGAGTATCCTACTATTCTACCTACTAATTCCCCATCCCTATCCCCAGTTCTACAATAAAATGCCAAAAAAAAAAAAAACATCCTATAGATTGGTCATTGAAGATCACAAGTGGTAGTGTGTGTGTATTTGGCTGAAGAAATACACTGTGCCTGACTGCGGGGT